CTGTCTGTCTTTCTGTTTTTTGCGGCTAATCTCCGAAACGGCTGGACTGATTTTGACGGGACTTTCTCTTTTTGTTACAAGGAGTAACTTAAGCTCCTTTTATTTAAAAAAAATAAATGTGGCACTCGGAGACTGCCGCGGTAAAGCTATTGCATAGCATTTTTTATCAACTTATGCAAGCTTATTTTAATATCAAAAATTTTGGTTATCTTTATAGCAGTATTATATATAAATTAACAAAACAAAAAATAATACTGCCTTTGTGATAATAATAATAAAATGAATGTATATAGAGTACTAACTCATTTTCTTTCACTATTTTTCGTGACTTTCTTCATTAATAAATGCACTTTGCTTATTCATATTTAAAACACTTTGTACACAAATTATACGAGTACAGATATTCACTGTTGTACATAGATGATAAATACCTATACACCTATATACTTTCTCACAAACAGCTGATTACGGTAGTTTTCCAATACAACCAATGCCACTTAAAGGCGGGTTGCTGAACTAAAGAGACAAGCGTGATATTTCAAAAAGTCATTAAAAGTTCTGGTATTTATCGATAGATGGAAAAAAGTATCACCGCTGTGCCGGTCGGAGTGGGGGGTGTTAGGTTTTTTTCGTTACGGAATTTCTGGATTCGGTCCTTACGCTCAAGGCCCGCGATAGAAGCTATGCAATAGCTTAAAAAAATAGGGTTCCGCTCAAAAAAGTGAAAACGTACATATTGGACACACCCGAGCGGGCCGAGGGTAATAATCTAGGCCGAGTCTAATATAATTTAATAGTATAATATAATACTTTTAAGCTTAAAAAAGCAAACTTAAATGTAAGAGCTAGTCGATGAGCCGGCCACACATGTCGCCGGAACCGATATGTATCGGGGTAGAGCGCCACCTCGCCAGGGAGGGCATTGTGATTACGTGCTGGTAATGGATAATATGCATGTTGTACCGGTGCTTTGAAACGTTCGTGTTGGGAAATACATAACTCTACCTTTACCCGCGACTCTACTTGGAATTTATTAAAGCAAATGATCTACCATTTACCTAGAACTCTCATATTGACGGGTCATACGTCATAGTAACTGATCAAGCCCTTTACGAATAAAGCACATAGTTGGTTTGATTTCATCGAAAGAATAGTAAATTGTGCAACAAAAATTAGACATTAAACTAGTAAATTATAATATGTATAGAATATATTTTAACAAAGGGTCGGTTCCGGTTGCCAATCACTGAGACTAGCCATCTGTGCAGGAGATAGGGTGTACAAACACAAGTGCACTCACTCGCAGCAGTTGTAACTCTCCAACTCCAAGCTGCTATGAAAAATGTATTGACTGAAAAATCCAATAAGGTCACAACTCGAACTCGAACTCCGAACTTCACAATGTGCCTAACACGCTAACCACCAAACCATTGAAGTAGTTAAACGCACTTTAACTATCTTTTAATTATATGTATATAATGGCTTCTTATAAGTGTGATGATGAATATGAATTATAATTGAAGGTGTCCATGGTAAGAATGTAAAGTTTCTATTACACGCATAGCTATGGTTTAGGAAGGATACAATAAATCTATCATAAACTGAATGTCTGTGTTTCATAAATTCAAAAGTATTTTTAATTTTTAGTATAATTATGATAAAATTGGGATATCAAAAATAAATCTGTTTGCAAATAAATATACGTATTATTTATATATTTTAAAAGAGAGTATGAAATTTTAAAACGGAACATATATTTACATAAATAAAGGCTTCCTTTCTACATCAGATTATAAGATCGTTTTGCCAAATAACAGGTTACGGAAGATTGCCGCTCTGAACCCTTCGCGGTCACGAGCGAAGGTTTATGATTTTTAATGATAGACTTCGAAAATGCAGTGAGGTCTATTGTACTCCTATTATAGTTTTATTGCTAACAAATATTCGTCATAAATTTATATTTATTTTATTACTTACGTTTTAACGATTAGTATAGATTTCTCAGAAATGAGATATATTTCCAAAGTAAAAAGTATCCCATATGTTAACCCGAATAACCAGCTATTGCTATACCAAATTCCATTAAAAATCTGTCCAGTGATTGTCTCATGATGCCTTCTCAGACAGACAGACAAAAATTCTAAAAACTATAGATTCGGCCTCTGTTTCGATAATAATGACTATTTCAATAAGATTTTCAAAAAGAAATGAAATGACAGATTCGACTCAGAATTTTATCATACGAGTATGTATAGCCTATTACGTGTAAAAGAACTACTATCCGTAAAGGACTTATTTTTACCCATTCCAAAAAAAGAATATAATATACTCAATATGGGTGTAGATAATTTTTTGTATGTTATGTCTTCAATGTGGAAAATATTTATGAATTTAAAAAAAACCATAATAGTGGAATAACTTTTAAATGATTTTGAGTTAGTGTTTTTAGTAAAAAAAAAGCTAAATATTGTTATCCCGAAAAAATAAAAATGCAATAAAACTTGATCAGCAAGTATTAAGTAAACTTGAAAGGCGTCTGATGTGATGTTCGAAGTAGTATTTTCGGAAATTATAAACGAACCGACACATTTATTGAACATACAAGTGATTATAGAATATTGAATTTTAATGAATGTCAAACAGTAGTTAGATAGTGATACGTCGTAAGCTGAAGTAAATCTGCAAATAATACCCAGCACAGCTATACATATAATATTTTAATTCAAACTGACATCTTGCCTTGACGCAACATCAAACGCGCCGCACCCTATCACTTTATTTGACGTGAATCGCGCCTCAATGGGATAAATCCGTTGAGATAACACTAAAGTCCGCTGAATAAGATAATCGGATGCAACCAACATTATACATACCCTGAACAGACGGCATATTATATATATATATATATATATATATATATATATATATATATATATATATATATCGTATTTCAAAGGAAATATAGAAATCCCTTCGATAAATTAAAATCGTTATTGAAGCGGAAGATAAAGGTATATTTTAATAGAACTTTTAATTCAGCGTTGTCAGTCTTTGAGCAAGCTACCTTCGACTCAGGATTACTGTACACTGTACATACACTGTACGAATGTACATACATACGTCTGGTAAGATGCTAATACATGTAATAAAATTGTAAATGAGTCGAATCTCTTCATTAAATATTTTTTGGGAAATCTTTTTAAATATCTTTTTTAAAGTTTTTTTTTTTGGATTTTTTGTCTGTTTATCTGTCTGTCTGTCTATCTAGGAACGCTTCACGAGAAAACCACTGGACCAATTCTGAAAACCACTGGACAAATTTTGAAGAAATATGGTATAATGATAGCTGGTGATCCAGTTTAACATATGGGATATTTTTTATTTTTTACTGCAGGAAAATATCTCATCTCTTAGAAATCTATACTAAACATTAGTTAGTTAGGGACCAACCTGAGCGGAATTGGGATAAGTCGCTAGTATATTATAATATTTTATCAATAGCTGGTCTCAACTCGATGAGTGCCTTTCTTTTTAAATGTAACAATTAAATGGTACATTATCTTATACAATTAATATAGATATCAACAGAAATTACCCCACACACCAGAACACAGACAAGTTCTTTAGACATTTTTTTTGATTGAAAGACATACTTTTAGAACTTTACTGATCATTAGTTGAGCATCTCGTGTTAACTCCCCAATAACATATATTTGTCCACTAGCAATTTACTCTGGCTTCGTTTGGGTGCTTTCCTACGTACGTTTTAATTTTTTAAACGGAACTCTAATTATTTTTCTAAAATAAAATCAGCCTAACCACTCTTTATAACATCAGCTATCTGACAGTGAAAATGCCATTGAAATCAGTCCATCCAGCCTTTCGGAGATTAGCCAGAACAGACAGACACACAGACAGACAGACAAAAATGTGTTTTTCTTATAAGTACCTACCGTATATAATTTTATATGCATTTAGTATAAAGCCATTATTTTGACATTACAAACAGATACAATTTTATTTATCTGTATACAGATAAGTCTCAACATCTAACTTACAGCTACGAGTATACAGCTTAAACGTCCATGATAGTAGAAATCAAGTATAAATCCACTCAGCTAAGTGGTCTTCCCCATGATATTTCATATCATTACAGAAAACATGTGTTTGGTACAATTTATTTGTTTGCTCATGTTGCATAGAAATAATATCACTAATTACATGTTAAGTACTTTATATTAATTTATTCGCAACATATTCTACAGTATATGAAAGGTTTATCTAGAAAAGGCCATGAAAATAAGTCATTATTGTTAATTTCCTCATAAATTTGTCACAAGCTCGCTCACAAGTAACTTTTATCTTAGTAAATAATTCTTTGACAATATCCGACAGTCGATAAGGAGTTGATAACAGAGATGTCATAACCCCCATTAGTTAGGTCAAATTTTTTTTAACTATCATATCTAGAAGCAATCAATTACGCTTAAAGTGTAGAAATAGTAATGTTTAATGTCGTGGCAGTATGTGCTTATCTTGTTTGTTAAGCGCGACGTTCGCCCTTTTGACCGACTTCAAAAAAAAAGGTAGTTGATTCAGATTATACTAATAATATGTAGTTTCAAGTAATTGTTAATTTTGTTTTTTTTTTATATTACCTGTACATATTTCATTACGAAATATTTAGTTTTTTTATATAAGGTTATATCACTTTGCGTTATATTTCATCTCTTAAAAGATTTACATCCCACATCAACATAATATTTTGTGAAATCATTTTACTAAAATATAGAGCTTACACATGATAACTTGAAATAGTAGCAGTCTAAGCTCTCTATCTAACACTTCATTTTGTACGTAGTTTAAAGTGAATAAAAATTCTGACAAACAGACGGACAGACATAACATAATCTTAATAACTCTAATATAGAATTTACTCTAGCAAATACAAAATTATACCGATAATAAATTGAATATAGTGATAATAATATATTTAATTAAGAGTTGACGGTATCTTTTAAGTTCTTTCCTTTCGTTTCTGGCAAAACAACACATGATACAGCAGCAACTAGTGATAAACTTCCAAATATCGCTGACGGTATCCAAGTAGGTGATATATTTGCTATAAAAGGGGCCACCATGGCCCCTAGCTTTGCTACAGCAGATGCAAATCCAAACGCCATGTTCCTCAATGTCGTCGGATATAACTCAGCTTCGTAAACGTAAATTATTGCAAAACTAACCGACACTGTTGCAAAGCCAACGATTCCTAATATACTTGTAAACCAATGTCCTTTCGGTGTGAATATTAAAATAAGCATTGTAATTCCCGTCAGTATTAATGAGACTATAAGCGATGATTTTCTACTAAAAACTTTTGTTATAACAATCTCTGTTGGACACAGGGGTAGCTGAAATAAATGTTAACATTATTAATCTTACTAATATGTATTATAAATGTGAAAATTTAGATGTTGGGATGTTTGGATGTTTGTTATTCAACCACGCCAGAATGGCTGAACGGATCTAGATGAAATTTGCCACAAAGATAGATTATAATCTGAAATAGTACATAGGCTACTTTTAATCCCAAAAAATGTACAGTTCCCGTGGGATAAATTTGTTTTTGTTTTTCTATAAAAAAATATTTTTACTTATTTAGCTATGAGTTTAAAATTTATATAATAAGTCGAATAATTTTACCTTTAACTAATTATGTAGTTACAATTTTATAAAGTTATTGGTTATTACGTCCTACATTCGGATATTTTTTTAACTTATTACTTTAAAAGACATAACACCTCGTCTTATCGCTTCTACTAGTCACAGTCCGAAGAATCGGCATTACCATTCAGCGGGGAAAGCGACTACCACGCAGACATCACAGTAATAAAATTAAGTGTACATTTATATTGTATATATAATGAAGTATATTTGTATAATAATTTCCTTTATTGTAAATAAAGTATACATATTAGTAGGTAATAATAAAAATACCAACTTAGCTAAGGCTATAAAAATATTAGTAAGTACTATATTTAATAGGCACTCAAAATGTCAAGGATTGAGTTCATCTACGTTAATATATCATTATAGTTCTATTATTACTGTAATTATTGTTTTTATGAGCTCTTCGAAATCTTACCTGCATTAACCCCAATATGGCCACAGTTATAAAAATATTGTCGCTTATTAATGTCACATACTGATATATTCCATAATAAGTAGTCCCAACAACCGTCCAGACGCATAAAGTGGACATAGTGATATATCTGATTTCTTTCGTTCTAAAAAAATCAAAGTAGCTTGGACGTATTTTCTCATTTTCCTTTATATTCAGAGCTTCTACTTTCTTGGCAACGATTTCTTTTATATTTGTGGTGCTCAACTTATTCCTGCAAGAAACTTTTGATATCATCATTTGCAAACTCTAAATATATTGCATGAGTTATTAATACTGAATCAAAAACCTCACAATTTTGCCGCGCACTCCAATATTTTGACAGCCTCGTCTATTTTACCAACAGAAATTAACCACCTCGGAGACTCTGGTACGAAACAAATTAGAATTCCGATAAAAATACAGGATACACTGAATCCAAGTAAGTAATTGTTCCATGTGGGTAAATAATAGGCAAACAGTGCTAAGGAAGCCTCTGCAATCCCATCAGGTAATATACATAAAGCTCCGGCCACTTCTCTGTACCTTTTACCAATATTTTCCATGACTATTGGTAAGCATATTATAAGGGAACCACCGGACGCGATTCCACTAACAAACCTTAGGGCATTAAACATCCAAAATTGAGTTACAAAAGAAGTCGGTATCATAGACAGTATGTTCAGGAAGGTAGAAAGTAAGAGAGCAACGCGGCGACCATATCTGAAACCAAACAGTTTAATTTAGGAAAATTCTAAAAACTATAAATTCGGCCTCTATATCGAATACAATGTCTATTTCAATAAGATTTTCTAAAAAAATATTTAATATACAGATTCAACTAAGTTACAATTTTATAATATCGATTTATTACATAGATTTGGGTTCAATTGGCGTAAACGGTTTGGTGAGATGATATCTTTATAGCCTATGACACTAACGTATGAAGAAATCTAACAACGTATGAATCATCAAAATTGGTTAAGCGGTTTAGTAATTATGAGGAAACATAGGATCGGATATGCATACATACAGATCACACACATACATACATACACATAACATAATCCTTTGGGCTTTATCGTTATCGCTATCTCTATAACTAACCTTGTAGTTACTGCTAGTATTGACTCGTCGACTACACTTTATTATGTTATACTAGGTCTGAAACACTGTTCCCCCCCAACGTGCGTTCACCTTGTCGTGGTGGGGGGGGGCTCAGTAGTAGTAGCGAAGCTAAGAAACGCACAGGGAGGTTGCCCACTTCGGTGGGCGGTGGGAGGTGGCCCTCTTCGGGGGGCAGTGTACCTTGCGGGTTGCTCCTGGTACTTCTCTGATAGCAGAGTGGACCTTGGAGCAACCCCATGGTTGTGGTGGTCTGCTTTGGCAGACCTGCCGTCGGGGCGTCGTAGTTGAATGCGTAAGCGATCCTGCAACGCCCCATTAAGACAGGAGAAGGTTTTGTTGGGTTTTAGTGGGTAGTACTGGCTGTATTACGCTGGTGAGGAAAAGGTCCCACACGTCGTGCGTAAATGCATTTCCCAACGTTAAAAAAAAAAAGGTCTAAACACTGTTATGAGGCCACAATATAAAATGCCTATAAAAAAGCTTATTTTATTTAATAAAATATTATCAGGTACTTAGATTTGATTTCCATGCATTAGTAGTAATCTTTGATATCTATTCGATTATATTAAAGCAGTTACGCCGGCCGCTACTCACTGAGACTACACGGATGCAAGCACGAGTGTATTGCCTATCACTCTCAAAATCTGGTGGAAAGACTATCTGACAATGATGATGACAGACAATTGGAAACTCTCTGAGGCTATGGTATTATATAGTATTATGGGTTTTTAGCTCGATCCGGTACTCGAACAAGAAGAGGCGCAGTATTATATGATAGCCACGAGATGAATAAATATAATATTTACTATACAAACAAACATATTGCACGTCGTTAAATAATCTTACATTTCACTACGTAGTGGAATAGAAACAAAGTAGATAATATTGTATTTCTTAATCAAGATTTAGATGCTTTGGTATGCGTAAATGCATTTCCAAACGCAAATAAAATTGTTATCTGTATTTTCTTTATTTTTTATTTTTCTTATTTTTCTTATTCAAAACGTTGAGCTGTTAATCCCTCAGCGACCGCGGGCATACCGGTGTTACAGTTAACAATGATTTTTTTAGAAATTAGATTAATATCTTAGAAATTTACCTGGAGGAGTTAAAGCGTTAAGAAGTAACAAACATACACAACACATCACTCATTATTCTCTTACTTTGATTCAATGACTCAGAAACATTCGCTTTAATAATATTAGTGTTTATAACAATATGAGCAAAATATATTCTCATAATATCGATACCTACTTTAAACAGAATAATACTTTTGAAGAGGAGAACTTACTTTTATCTTATTTACATGATCACTTATTATCTTCAACTAACTAATCTTTTAATCTACTGTATTGATTAGAATGTAACTTAAATATGTTTTATTGATAGAGCATTAACACTTGAAAAAGAGGCCAAGTGGAATTTCAGCTGCTCTTGATTGATGCGCAATTAGACAGATAAAGAAAAATCTTAAAATTGTCGATTTGGCTTCCATTACACCCAAAACACTCTCTCAGCGCATTTACTAAAATATTTTAAACCCCTTTGATCTCGTTACAATTCTTGTTATTTGTTTTTTTATTTCACAAATCTCAACCTTTAATTATATGGAACTTGCACGTGATTTAAATAGAGGTGATTTTTTTTTATAATCTTTATTGCTCTTGAACTAAGCCTATACCAGTATTTTTAATGTTATTTCTTTTTGATTAAGAAAATAATAATTAAAAAGTGCAGAAATAGGTGGGAAATTCAAAGTAAACGCATGAAAGTTGAAAAAGATTGGGTCAGACCGAATATGACGTCAAAATCTATTACAATAGAGCGCTGTTGTTTGGTGTTTACGACTGGTACTAACAATCTAGACCTGTTCATTCGTTGATTACAATGGTGTCATAAACTATGACGTCACGCCAGGCGTGCCAAAATGGTGGGCGTTTTAAGTATCTGTATGATATTTTAAAAAAATATATACCAAATTTTAGTCTTTTGAAGCCAGATATATTTTTTACAATTATATAACGATATAAGCTATTGTACAAAAAATAAAAGAAATAAACCTATAAAAATGTATAATTCCTTACAACAAACAAAAACAATTATTTCAATACCTGTCTGACATCCAACCAAACAAAGAGACACCAATCACTAAACCAAGCATCAAAATAGTCTGGGTTAAACTTGCTAACCACGATTTCTCACAAATCAGTCCAAAATCTGATATCAACGTGGTTTCCATAACTTGTGAATGATAATCGTATTTAGTACAATTTTCATAACATGTCATATCTGTATTTATAGTAGCATTGTTTTGAAATTCGACACAAGTAAATTTTGTAACTGGGGTCAAAAATACAACTGATGTCATGTTTCCCATAGCAAGAAATCTAGTTAGAGATGCAGTTGCACAAACTGCAACTTGCCAAACACCAACAGCACCTATTGTATCTTCTATATAATCACTCTCACTATCACTTTCTTCATCATGGTCACTTTCTTCAGGATGGTCCTTTGAAAAAATATTTAATTGTTTTAATTTTAACTTCATTGTAACAAATTTTCTTTTACAAAAATTACTTCTGTATTGTATGCGTCATTTATGAAGGTTACGATGCAAGTATGCTTAAGTGTCGTGCAACAGGTAACTCTTATAATATCTATTCAATATACATATATGTTACAGTCCACAACAATTTTTTGGAGAAACTGGTTTCGCCAAATTTTAAGGTAGTCTTTATATAGCCTGTCAAACTAGTTAAGCCACGGTCAAACATGTTCACATAATCTAATTAGGTCAAGTAAATACCTCGAAAAATCTTTGTTGAAGTGATGTGAATCATTACTTTTTATGTTAAAATTGTTAGATATATTCTAAATAACTTTGAATTGAAGTTTCAACAAAATTATGGATTCATATATTAATTACGAAAATGTATTTTTTAAGAAATGTAAATTTATATTAAACTAGCGACTCACCCTCGCTTCACTGCGGTTAAACCCTGGCTTGCTTCCGAATACAAGCTTTCAGTCCCATAAGTCTTTTAATAATAATAATAACAATATTTTTTTAATGACATAGATGTATACAAACATAGGTGATAAAGGTTTCCCAAGAACCTGCGCTCATTAAAAACTGTGTTGCAGGAGTAAGTTTTTCACCCCCTTAAAGGATGATTTCCGGGATAAAAAGTATCCTATGTCCTTCCCAGGGGCTCAAACTATCTTCTTGAGAAATTTCATCTAAATCGGTTCAGTAGACCCATAGATTACCCCCTACAACCTCACAATCTCACAAACTTTACCTCTTTATAATATTATAGTATAGATAAAAAATTGAAATTGTTGTAATGGTGTTTCGTTATTATTGTTGTTATTAAAAGTACCTTCCTGCGTCTTTCTTGGCTTCCCGGCTGGATTGCTGGACGCTAACGAGTCCCCCACCACAACAAGGTAAACATACATTAGAGGAGATAAATGGAGCTTAAATACTAACCTTGATAAATACGAGTATAAGATTCTTGACCTAAAATTAACTGACTTATCCTATCGCGTTTAAAAACAACCAGTATAGCCTAGACAAAACTAGTTTATCCTTAAATAGGGTTTGGACGGTAACTTTTATTATATTAAAGTTTCAGCAGTAATGTGATAAGGCTGAAATTTTATGAGTATTAACGCAACCACCTTGAAATACGTAGAACAATACATATGCAAATTATATAGACTATAGTTATTCATATCTAATTCATGACTTCAATGTTTGTTCAATAGGAAACAACATCGGTACTCTCATTAATTTAATTTTAATTATTAAAAATTAAAAATTAATAAAATAAGTTTGAAAGTTAGAAGAATATTTTAAAAATAAACTAAAAAAAAAGACAAATAAACAAATGTTACGAATAAATATGTATTAAATATAAATACATACGCAGATCTAAGCTTAGTGTTGCACCCCTATACTTCAAAGTTGGATGACAATCTTATCAAGTAGATAGCAAAGTGAAAGAGAGTATTAACGCCTGCGCTTGCGCGAAATGCATTCATATTCATATCTTACGCGCAGATTACTGTTCTAAGTGTATCGGTAGCCGATATTAGTTGGGAGGATTTTTTTTTTATTTCTATGTTAAGGCTATAGAGTATATAAAGAGTATTACTTCGACCGGTTCTTTTAACCGGTGGTAGAACTCTGTCAAGCCTGAGGAGTCCGACTGGATGGGTACCACCCCCTTATCTATTTCTCCCGCCAAGCAACAAAGATTGCATTGTTGTGTTCCGGTTTGAAAGATAAGGTAGCCAGCGCAATTTCAGGCAAGAGGCATATTATCTTAGTCCTCATAGTGAGAACGTACCGGCGGTTTGCAGTTTTGTTACGTAAAACCTAAGTGCATGAACCGTTGGTGTTATGGGCGACAGGTACCACTTTCCATCAGGTGGCATGTCTGCTCGTTTATCACTGAGTACATAAAAAAACCTTTTCTCATCTACTGTGATCGCTGCATATTAGACTTTTTTTTTTTTTTATAGTTGGGAAATCCTATTACGGATACCACCCGACTTCCCCCGGGGTGGTTATGTGGAGACTCTCCGGCTAATGAGACCGGCATACCCACTAAAACCCAACTTTCCCCCTCTGCCGCCATGTGGGGCGCCACGGGATCGCTCTCGCATACAACCGCGACGCCCCGACGGTTGGCCGAAGCCACCAACCATGAGGCCGCCCCAAGCGGGACAACCCCATTATGGGAAGACTTACAACCCAAAAAGTGAGGCCGCTCCTAAGTCCACTCTGCTGATCAGAGAAGTACCCGGAGCAGCCCCACACCACACAAACACCGCCCACCGAAGTGGGCCACCTCCAATCGGCTGCAGAGGACAGGGAGAGCGGCAACGAAACACCGACACTCCTCTTCCCATGCAGCCCCACCGCGTCCGCCATCAAACGGTGGCGGCCCCGTCTAGGCCGCGGAAGGTAGGGAGAACGGCGCACTGAAATACCGGCACTCCTCTCCCGCCGCGGCCTACCCCTCCGCCGAATGCGGGCCTGCGACCACAGTCCCGCAATCGGCACCCATCATCCGGTTGTGGGACCAAGCGGTCCCACCACCGGTGGCCGCAACGTCTTCGGCTCGAGGCCTAGACGAGCGGCCCCATCCAAGCCATTTGGTCCGCGCCGGATTTCTCCGGTACCACCCGCCCCTCTAAGCGGGTGGCATGCCCCTATCCGCCACCTGGGGACGCGCCCGGTAGGAGTTGGCTTCTCCCCCGGGCTACATATTAGACTAGAGTAACCCACAAAACTCTGCCGTTGTAATAAACTACAGGATTTCCTTCTTTGCAGGTTTCCCAAGATGTATACTGCGCTTGTGCATAGATCAGCACTCCTCTCAGAATGTGGAGTGGCGTTGTCTGCCTCCATACATCTTCTGCAGGTTTGTGTGTCACTCAATCACTGTTTGGAAGATAATACTTTCTTAGATTTACACTATCTTTTCGGATTTTGTCGCGGTTTTATTTTATATTAGGTACATATTAGAACCAGCATTGCCCGCGGCTTCGCCCGCGTTTAGATTACCAAAAACCAAATTTTTAGGTTTTACATATTAGTATAGTCTTACATTGCAGTTTTTGTATTTTTCCTCAAAAATGAGATATTTCGCCGCGGTAAAAAGTATCCTATATCTTGACCCGAATAATCAGCTATCACTATACCAAGTTTCATCAAAATCCCTCCAGTGGTTTTCCGTGATACGGTAACAGACATACAGACAGACAAACAGACAGACAAACAAAAATTCTAAAAACTATTGATTCGGCTTCTGTATCGAAAAGAATATCTATTTTAATAAGATTTTCCCAAAAATATTTAATGTACAGATTCGGCTTAGTTAGAATTTTATTATATGTATAGATGCTTTAGAGAAAAACATGATCATAGGAGAGACTAAGATCTTCGTCTCTTAGTTCGATGTCTCTAAAGTTTTATATATACTTGTTACAGACAATATCTAACTACAAAATTTTAAATAGAGAAATAGAGTTATGGCACTGAAGTAGCTTACGATATAAATTGTTAATTTTAATCTATTTAATAATTTTATTGAGGTATATAATTGAATATAATAATATTTATTTTGGTTCCCTTAGTTAGTATTAAGAGCGGATCTTATTTACAACTCTGGCATACATTTTCTTAGTCGTAGATTCGATTCCCGCGTAAATTTAAAGTTAACTACCGTCATATTACACAAAATATACATAGCTTAAAACGATTGATTTAATGTAAACTACCTTCGAAGGACTTTAAAACAGTGTAATACTAATATATAAGTAGATTGACTGCAAGCATAATAATATACAGAGAACAGCCGCCCGTCATGTATTTTATTAATGATAGCCCATTCCCACCACTCAGTCGTTTTCGACTGTAATGCTAGAGTAATTTGTAATTTCGTCTCATTTTGAACCACTCAATAATTTTCTGTAAAGACCTTTATAATGTGTGAAATATCGTTTATAAAAGACTTCATTATTTTTTTTTGAAGTGAAAACTTCTATAGGCAGGTTTGGATGGGGAGTAATTCATGTAAGTCGTCATCGACATGGCCACGTGACATAAACACAGAACATAAAACATAGTCGTGGTTATAAATGTAAATAGTTTTAATTTACAAATTTTAATTTAAGATCGAACAATTAACTTGAATATCCAAAAATAGCAATGTTTGTCTATAGTTTTAAATTTTCACTGTCTATCAGCAGTCCTCATAAGTGCTTTTTGTCTTAATTTAAAGAAATCTTGGAATAGATGTAAAAGAATGAACATCGTTATTGAAATCTCCGCATTCTGTCACTATACAGTACAAGACATTAAATGATGAATAGTGCTGCATAAAACAGTGATTTTCTTCTCAACACGACCTTAAATAGAATGTAGATAAAGAGTATAAACAATTGCCCCATCTTAGAATCGGATCTGCGATCTTTGTCTAAATAAAATACATATGCATATATATTGTGCATATATTGTAATTGCACAAAGTTTTGTGACAATCTGTTTATTACGACTAGAAATAACATGTACTGAAAAAGATATCCTAACGCACTGTTCATATAATTTGCTAGACTCATTATTTATTATAAACTTCAGTTAAGATGTTTCAGACAAAAAATCGTGTCGTTTCATCGTATCGATGTCGTAGTATATAAAAATATATCCAAGCTTCTAAAGTCAATCGTCCGAGGGCCAAGCTCGTTACGTCGAGCACGACAGGCAACGTATAATCACACGTCAGGGGCTCACAACCTGTAATTTACAGCACTTTTAACCCTCTCAATCAAGTAAACGCTGCTATCGTTTTTGTTTTAACTTAATGTGACTTCATCTTACACTTTTTGTTCGATATCTTTTGAATTACGTTTACTATGTAACGCCTTCGACTCGGTCCCTAGTTTTACAAAAAATGTTTGATCATTAAACTATTTATCTCTTTCCTTTTGAAGTTGTTTTGTGATTTATTTATATTTGTAGATTTATTAAATTAT